AAATAAATAAATAAATAAATAAAAACGGTATACCCGTTGGTTAGATTCCCCTTTGGGTCACTAACTCCGAACACAACGGGAGCTGTTACGTTCGAAATTCTAAGGTAGTAAAAACTATAGTTATTAAAAACTATTAATTTGCTTATCTAATAAGAAATTTAAGTTCAAAATTATAAACTGAAGTTACAATTGTTTCAACAGGTTAATTACGTTAATTAATTATCTAGCTGGTATAGTTGATCGCGCTATGACAACCATTATTATTTCTAATTCCTTGGGAATAACGTGACAAAATTTACACAGCTGAGTACTCGAAATGAATATAACATCATTAAATATTCACGAACACGTATTATCAGGAATTGGTTTTAAAAACGGTATTTATCTTAGCAAATGTATCATATCTAACATGATTGCTGATCAAATTTAACAAATATGTAACTTACAGGTCGATCTCTAAAAGAGTCGAATTCTTTCACGAAGATATCCTTCAGCATCTCCGGGTCTGCAATCACCAAGTTTGGAATCTTTCCGAGGAAAGACGACATGGCGAATACCTTGCCGTATTTTAGAAAGTATTCGTGCACCTGAAGGTGTAGTTGTCCTTTGTGCTTTATCGTGTCCAGTAAATGACCTAAAACCGGCAAAGGTTTTGGTCCGCGGATACTATCTCCGTACCAAGTTTTCATTGATCGGTAGGAAGCCAAGGAATACAGAACAAGCAAGAAGGTGGAAGGAATCAATATTGTCAGCCAGTGATGCACCATCGCTTCCGATACACCTTGTAAGAATTCTATCAACGCCATATTACCTACCCAAGATTTGTTGTTTTTGTTGTTGTTTTATATAAATCCGAGTGACTCGGCCAGAGTAGGATTAGAAATATTGTTAAGGTTAGGTTGTGATCTGCCTGTCGGTTCCACAGTATTGCCTTTTTTGCTGTTCGATCTGGCTATCAATATTCGCATATCACTCGATCCGGCCAGGATGGTGTGAAGTGTTTTAGAATTGTAAATTAAAAATACAGAGGTCGAGACAAGGGCTGCTAAAAGGGTGCTCACAAAAAAATCAAAGCCGAGATCAGAATATCCCACATGTAAATGCGGTGGATCTTAAAGCAGCCATGTATCATTATTTGTAATTTTGTAATATATACCCCTTTAAAGGTTAATGTTTTCTTATTTGCATTATAATAAAATTCAACGTGGACGCGAGGCAATTTCAGGCAAAAACAACAAAATCGACCTGGTCCACGTTGGATTATATTATGATGTTATTTAGCCTGAAATGGGCTATTGTTTGGAACCCGGAAACTTT